ATCTTTAAAAAAAAAAAAAAAGTGCCATTGTTCCTCCCCATCTCTTTGTGGGTCCCGCAAGATAGTTTTGAAAATGCTTACGACAAGTCAGGCTTCCCTCGCCTACACACTGCCCGCCTCGGTGGCCCGCAGGTGACGCGGTGCTGGCGGGGAGGCAGGAAGGGGCGGCCCGGGCTCCTCCCCTTCCCGCAGCGCTGCAGCTCCACATTGTTTATTGTGCTAGAAATAGTTTTTTAGACATCAGAAAATACGGAACGGTCATCGCCCTCCGTGTCGGAAATTTCTGCTGGTGCTTTACAGACTGGTCACTTGGAAGTAGCCGGAAGTAGCCGGAGGTAGCAGAGGGTCAGTGACCAAGCCTGGGCCACACACACAGCACCCTGCTTCCCACAGCAGGCAGTGTCAGGCCGCGGGCCTGAAAGGCCTGGATTGGAAGTGGCCACTGAGCTTCCAGGCAGCCTGGATATCTTTAGCTTCCTCATGTGGAAAAGTGGGGGTAACAGGACTGTCCTGGTGGTCTGCTGGTGCCACTTAGCCCGCGGGACTCCTCAACCGGGGCTCGTGATGCCAGCGGGGCCATCGTGGCTCTGCACCGGGTTGTCCTGAGTGCATCGCCCCTGGGTAGGGTTCCTTGCCGGGGCCGCTGGACCAGTCTCTGCTCCTCCGTTATCACCTGGCATCAGGCAAAGGGCCAGCACCAGGGGCCCTGGGCGTCTCTCCCTCGAAGAAGCAGAAGCCTTTCAGACGCCCTCCAGGGTGTTCAGGTCAGACTCAGGGTCTCCCTCACGGCACCCACGGACAGGGCCAGTGTCAGGAGGGCTGCGGCAGTTTCCGTGTCGTGTGGGCCTTCTGCCTGTCCAGCCTGACCCAGCAGCCTCTGGCCCTTTGTGCCTGTTTCTCTGCTTCTTTCTCCTTGTTGCTCTGAGTTTCTGTGCGTCTCTGTCGCTCCATCTCTGTGCTTGTTTCTCTCTGTCTCGACTTTCTCTCCGCACTCCCCCAACCCCCAGCCTCCTGCTCCCTTTCTGGACCAAGGTGAAACAAGCATGCTGCAAGACTCATGGGGTGCCACCCCTGCCTTGGCATGAGCCAAGAGAGTGGAAGTCTCCTCCAGTGTCTGCCGCGGGCCCCTGGCTTCACTCACCCTGGCCCAGGCCCTGGTCTTTGCTCTTTTGCCATTTCCTTGCCGTCTCTGATTGCCCCTCGAAGCTGAGGGCTCTTTCTCTCTTGCTACAGGGTCTCTACTCAGCCTCACACTGATCCTTCTGCTTCTCTGGGACATGGCTGCCAGGCCTCGGCTGCACCTCTCCCTCCGCCCCACTCCCCCCTCCACACCCTCCTCACCACCCCCCACCCCAGCAGTCCAATTTCACATTTCCAGGAGGTGAATGCAGCTTGGCTCAGGTCAACCATTCCCAACTTGTCTGGTCAGTGCTGGCCCAGGGTGGGGTTCCCCAGATGCTCGCAGGGGCTTGACACAGGCTCTCTGAGGAGGGGCCACTCCACATGAGACCCCCCACCCCCCCGGTCTGTTCCTCCAATGGGAAGTATGGCACAAGGCAGCCTCACACAGCCAGCTTTGCCTTTGACCTTCCTGGGGAATTGTGGCAGACAATTCCAGAACTAAGAGCCAGAACTAAGTCTGTGAACAGGAAAAGATGGGTGCCCTTGCACCCCAGCCCGCCCCTCATGCGTCTTAAATATACTGAGTGTCAAGCTGCTGCCTCCTGCAATATTTGGTTCTTCCAGCTGAATCTGCGGAAAAAATGATCAGCTCCCATTTTGGGGTTCTGGTTTTAGCTGTCTGAGGCGTGTGTGGTGAAAACCTGCTTCGCTGCCTCTTACCCATTGTGGTCAGAGGCTTTAAAGAGTCTGGGAGCCTGGGGTGGGGGGCAGCTGCCTTGACTAGGGAGATGAAAGCAAGTCTGGGGGAGACACGGAAGGAGTCTCCCATCCATCCTGGGGTGGGGGGGGGTCCGAGTGTAGCCCACACAGGCCTTGGCGGAAGGAGTCACGGTCGGCCCATGCGGGCATGTGAAGGAGGCCGAGGAAGACTGCTCAGCTCCTGTCTTTTTGTTCACTGAACCTCAGCAGCTGTGTTCTGCTACTCTTTTGGGAGGCTCTTAAATAACAGTGGGAGGATTTGGGGGAGATGCGGCCGTTGCAATGGGGAAGGTGTGGTGTTGGGACTTTGGGGCCATTTCTTGCCTTCCTGGGAGAGGTCAGCCAAGGCAAGTGGCAAAGGCTGGGCACTGGTGGAGGCTTTAAGTTTAAGTACACAGCTGGATTCTTTCAGGACCTGCTTGGAATTCATGTGGACCTGCCATAGCCATCAGGGGCCTGTGCCCCAAATCTAAATTGTGCCTTCAGCTTGTGTGCTTCTGGGGAAGGCAGGACCTGTTCCCAAGCTTTGCTGACTTCCTGCAGACAGAGAAGAGGCCATTTTTGGCAGCAAAGACTCCTGATGGCTGGGAAAAGGGTGTGCAGGTGTGAATATAGGCGGAATTCTAGAATCCAAGCCTGAGGCATCTTTTTCCAGAGACCTTTGTTCTGATCATTCATTTGACTACTGAGTGAGCCTATGCAAGGTGCAATATTCCTGCAGACTCACAGGCACTAACATGAACACAGTGCTGTCGTAGTGCTGAAAAAGCAGTTAATTTTAGCTGAGCCATCAAAGGAGCCTTCCTGGAAGAGGTGACTTTTATTCTTGAAGGTTGAGTAGGAATTTGCCAAGTGGTAAAGGAAGTCTTCCCAGGACGGCTGGCTGGATGAAGGGGGAGATGGTGGAGTAGAGGGTGATAAGGGGGCTGATGTAGCTGGCCAGGTGGGTGGAGCAGCCTCCACCTAGGTGTCAGCCTGGCCCAGTTGTTCTGTAAGCGTCCAGCATGACGGGTCTCTGTGCATCTGCAGCTAGGGCAGCTCCCACGCTTCCCGGGCCCCCTTTGCCTGAGATGAGGCCCTGTGCAGGGGCGAGGTAAGGAGCTTGGTCTTGGAGGGCAGAGGCTTGTCTGCTGGGAAACAGCAGCTCTGCCAGGCCCCCCGGGCTGCTCTGGGGGAGGCGCCAGAGGCCCTTGAGCTGGCAGTGCCCACGTTGCACACATCACCTTGGCAGTTTGTGGGCAAACCCTCTTGGCCGAGGGGAGATTGCACTGCCAGCCACTTCCTCCAGTTCCTTCCCTCTGCCTGTCATCACAGATACCTCGTCCTTGTTGGGGGTGAGGTTGAGGTTGGGCGGAATCAATTTTGTCCAGGTTTCTGTTTTCCCAGATGCAGGTCAGCCAGAGGAGCTGTCACTTCTGGTTCTGTTTCAGAGGAGGCCAAGGGGCTGGGAGGTGCTTGGGTGTGGCAGTGTTGACAAGGCGCCTCTCCAACCGGCCAGCCAGCTCCCAGACAGGTGGGAGTGGGCCAGGGAGGAGCTCTGAGAGGGTGGGGAAGGAGAGCAGGCCTGCAGGCCCTGTGCTGGTGACCGGTGCCGGCCTCTGGCCCAGGCCGCCCACCCTCCGCTCCGAGAGCATGCTGGGACGTGTGGAGAGAGGCCCTTTATTTTCCTGGCCTGAAGCCTTTGAGCGGAGACCTCGTTCCAGGTCTCAGGCAGCCAGAATCACCCTCGCTGGCTTGAGAAGTGAAAGAGTTGTCAAGTCCAGGGCAATCCAAGGACTTTTCTAGTGGCCTCTGACTCCACGCGCTCCCCAGCCCAGCTGGCCCTGTGTGTCCTTCTGATCCTCCTGGCGGGTTTGGGCAGCAAGAAGCACCAGATCAAACTAATCCTGATGGGCTAGGGCTGTGTGGTCAGAGGTCAAGAGCAGAGAAATCTGAGTTGGAGTCATCACATAGTACTGTGGCCTTTGGCAGGTTGACCGCTGAGCCTCAGTCTCACCACCTGAAACATGGGACTGTGGTCACCCCTGCCTCATAAGACCAGTGATGAGGCTCATGTCGACTTGGGCTTAAACCATTGAGCAAAGTGGAAAGCAAAGGGCTGCTGTAGTTGTGATTGTTAGTGAAAGCACAATAATTGCAGTTTTTTT